CACATTAAAATAAATAAATAAAGTGCAGGGAGGGCCTCCTCCTGGTCGGGGCGGCCGCTGTGGGGACCCGCCGGGGCCCAGCCCGTCTGCCCCTGGTTCCCTCCCCAGGGAGCGAGCGGACAGCACAGCCGACGCGCCCGCCAACCGTGAGCCCTGCTGCTTCACTCACGTAGTAGAACCCGTCCTCGTCGATGTCCCGGAGGACGGAGATGATGTCCCCGGTGCAGAAGGTGAGCTCGGCCTGGGGGGGAGGGCGCGGTGAGCGGCGGGGGCCCCGCAAAGTCGTTTTCTCAAAGAACCTCTTCGCGATTTCTTTCCTTGTCTGGTTTTCCTATGACTTGGGTACTAACCTACTCCTTCAGGCCAAGGAGGGAGGAAGATAGAGAGCCCACAAGGGCCCCTGTGCTCGGCCTCTTAGAAAGAGCGACCACGGCCGCGCAGGCCACCCCCAGGGAAGCACTGAATCCAGCGCCGGCCACGGCCTCACACCCGCCAGATCCTTAACGTGAGCTCCCAGGCGTCGGGGCACTGCTCCCCGCAGCCCACAGCGCCTGGGCCTTTACGTAAATGCTCTCCCGCTGCGTCTGAGAGACTGTGCTCAATTACTAATGAAACGTCTATTTCCTAGGCCACGGGGTGGGCGGGAGGAGGGGGGTCCAGGCTGGGAACAGGCCAACCAGCCTGGGGGGTGGAGGTGCCAGAAAATGCACTTTTCTTTCTAAATGCCCGGCCGGCATGCTCAGTGGTGAGCGCCGACCTATGAACCAGGAGGTCACAGTTCAATTCCCGGTCAGGGCACAGGCCCTGGCTGTGGGCTCGAGCCCCAGTAGGAGACGTGCAGGAGGCAGCCGATCAATGATTCTCTCGTCATTGATGTTTCTCTCTCCCTCTCCCTCTCCTTTCGTCTCTGAAATCAATAAAAATATATTTAAACAAACAAACACACATGAAAATGGGGCAAGGCCGCCAGGCATCGTAAGTCAAACCTGCTCAGGGCTCTCTGTGCACGGGGCCCTCACTCTGGTCCCTCGTCAGAAGTAACGGCCGTGCAGGCCCTGGGCACAGAGCTCCCAGCGCTCCCCACCGTGGACTTGGGGCCTACCCACCTCGCCCGTCCTCTCCTCGGGTGACACTATTGGGCACCCCCGCTGGGTGGCTGCTGCGCCCTGAGCTGCAGGGAGGGGCCCGCTGGCCTGCTGTCGGCCACTGACTGCTCTGGGGGCCGCTCCCTGGAGGGTCCGGGTCCTGCGCGGTGCCCGGGACGCCCGGCGGGAAGGGCGGGGAGGGCAGCGGGCACCTCGACATCGATGTTGGGCGAGCTCTCTCTGGGGTCGTAGTCGTACAAGGCTACCATCCTGCGCGTGGACACCGCCTGCTGCCGGCCACCTCGCCTGCTCCTCTCTGCTGACCGGGAGAAGGAAGCCATCAGACACTGCCTAAGAGTGGGCCGCCCTGGTCACCGTGGCAATGGGCCGACGCCGCCCCCACCAGGCCCAGGCTCACAGCGGGGACAGCCGGGGCCTTGGGCCAGTCGCCGGGCTTCCTAGGTTTTGTTTTAACTTAGAACAAGCGAGCACCTTTGTAAAACCTGGGGCTGTTTCCTCAAAACCAAACACATGCAGCCCAGGCAGCGAGGCTCAGGGGATGAGCATCGGCCTATGAACCAGGAGGTCAGGGTTCGATTCCCGGTCAAGGGCACAGGCCCGGGTTGTGGGCTGGATCCCCAGTGGGGCGCGTGCAGGAGGCAGCCGGTCCATGACTCTCATCATTGATGTTTCTATGTCTCCCTCTCCCTTCCTCTCTGACATCAATAGAAATATATTTAAAGCACGAGCACGTGCACACTCACATAGGCACACACACGCGCGCACGCGCGCACACATGCTCACGTGCACACGCACACACGTGCACACTCACGTGCACACACACTCGCACACGCGCGCACACGCACACACGCACTGCAGAGGGAACGACAGCGCTCCGCGCGGCTGGCCCCCGGGAGGCGGACGTGACGCTGCGGAAGGACAGGGACCGGGCGGCGGGCCAGGAAGCCCTGTCGCAGGAGCTGCTCCATCATCTCCTCGTCCTCCGCCTGGATCTCGGACACCATGTTGCAGGGGATGAGGCCAGACCGGGCGCAGGTCTCCCCGCGGTAGAAGCCGTCGGCGTCCTTATCGCCGTAGACCTGGGGCCCCGCGGGAAGAAGCGAGGCCTTGTGATTGGCTGGCTCAGAGTTACATCACCCCCCTACAGTGAGGTGATTGGCTGGCTCAGAGTTACATCACCGCCTACAGTAAGGTGATTGGCTGGCTCAGAGTTACATCACCGCCTACAGTGAGGTGATTGGCTGACTCCGG